CTGATTCTGTTGTAAAAGTGAAATTCATGCAGCAAACCACTTGAAACGCTTAAAACAGGCCAGAAACATCATGAATTGCATACTGGCATCCAACAACTGTGATTCTATGTATTTGAACTGATTCTGTTGTAAAAGTGAATTTCATGCAGCAAACCACTTGAAACGCTTAAAACAGGCCAGAAACATCATGAATTGCATACTGGCATCCAACAACTGTGATTCTATGTATTTGAACTGATTCTGTTGTAAAAGTGAAATTCATGCAGCAAACCACTTGAAACGCTTAAAACAGGCCAGAAACATCATGAATTGCATACTGGCATCCAACAACTGTGATTCTATGTATTTGAACTGATTCTGTTGTAAAAGTGAAATTCATGCAGCAAACCACTTGAAACGCTTAAAACAGGCCAGAAACATCATGAATTGCATACTGGCATCCAACAACTGTGATTCTATGTATTTGAACTGATTCTGTTGTAAAAGTGAATTTCATGCAGCAAACCACTTGAAACGCTTAAAACAGGCCAGAAACATCATGAATTGCATACTGGCATCCAACAACTGTGATTCTATGTATTTGAACTGGATTCTCTAGTAAGCCCCCCCCCATCTGTTGTAAAAGTGAATTTCATGCAGCAAACCACTTGAAACGCTTAAAAACAGGCCAGAAACATCATGAATTGCATACTGGCATCCAACAACTGTGATTCTATGTATTTGAACTGATTCTGTTGTAAAAGTGAAATTCATGCAGCAAACCACTTGAAACGCTTAAAACAGGCCAGAAACATCATGAATTGCTTACTGGCATCCAACAACTGTGATTCTATGTATTTGAACTGATTCTGTTGTAAAAGTGAAATTCATGCAGCAAACCACTTGAAACGCTTAAAACAGGCCAGAAACATCATGAATTGCATACTGGCATCCAACAACTGTGATTCTATGTATTTGAACTGATTCTGTTGTAAAAGTGAATTTCATGCAGCAAACCACTTGAAACGCTTAAAACAGGCCAGAAACATCATGAATTGCATACTGGCATCCAACAACTGTGATTCTATGTATTTGAACTGATTCTGTTGTAAAAGTGAATTTCATGCAGCAAACCACTTGAAACGCTTAAAACAGGCCAGAAACATCATGAATTGCATACTGGCATCCAACAACTGTGATTCTATGTATTTGAACTGATTCTGTTGTAAAAGTGAATTTCATGCAGCAAACCACTTGAAACGCTTAAAACAGGCCAGAAACATCATGAATTGCATACTGGCATCCAACAACTGTGATTCTATGTATTTGAACTGATTCTGTTGTAAAAGTGAAATTCATGCAGCAAACCACTTGAAACGCTTAAAACAGGCCAGAAACATCATGAATTGCATACTGGCATCCAACAACTGTGATTCTATGTATTTGAACTGATTCTGTTGTAAAAGTGAATTTCATGCAGCAAACCACTTGAAACGCTTAAAACAGGCCAGAAACATCATGAATTGCATACTGGCATCCAACAACTGTGATTTCTATGTATTTGAACTGATTCTGTTGTAAAAGTGAATTTCATGCAGCAAACCACTTGAAAACGCTTAAAACAGGCCAGAAACATCATGAATTGCATACTGGCATCCAACAACTGTGATTCTATGTATTTGAACTGATTCTGTTGTAAAAGTGAAATTCATGCAGCAAACCACTTGAAACGCTTAAAACAGGCCAGAAACATCATGAATTGCATACTGGCATCCAACAACTGTGATTCTATGTATTTGAACTGATTCTGTTGTAAAAGTGAAATTCATGCAGCAAACCACTTGAAACGCTTAAAACAGGCCAGAAACATCATGAATTGCATACTGGCATCCAACAACTGTGATTCTATGTATTTGAACTGATTCTGTTGTAAAAGTGAATTTCATGCAGCAAACCACTTGAAACGCTTAAAACAGGCCAGAAACATCATGAATTGCATACTGGCATCCAACAACTGTGATTCTATGTATTTGAACTGATTCTGTTGTAAAAGTGAAATTCATGCAGCAAACCACTTGAAACGCTTAAAACAGGCCAGAAACATCATGAATTGCATACTGGCATCCAACAACTGTGATTCTATGTATTTGAACTGATTCTGTTGTAAAAGTGAAATTCATGCAGCAAACCACTTGAAACGCTTTAAAACAGGCCAGAAACATCATGAATTGCATACTGGCATCCAACAACTGTGATTCTATGTATTTGAACTGATTCTGTTGTAAAAGTGAATTTCATGCAGCAAACCACTTGAAACGCTTAAAACAGGCCAGAAACATCATGAATTGCATACTGGCATCCAACAACTGTGATTCTATGTATTTGAACTGATTCTGTTGTAAAAGTGAATTTCATGCAGCAAACCACTTGAAACGCTTAAAACAGGCCAGAAACATCATGAATTGCATACTGGCATCCAACAACTGTGATTCTATGTATTTGAACTGATTCTGTTGTAAAA